ATCTCAGAAGACCACGTGCGAGGGCCTTGATCAAGTAGTCGCGAACGACGCATGCCTTTCAAATGAACTGGGTGCCAAGAACAACAAGTGCTACACGATTATCGTTTCCAAATTTCCATTACACCTTAAACAATGTGAATACAGCCAAAAACCGAGCCATATAGGAGCTTCGAATGCAGCCACAGCATTCATTTGCTGAGAGACGACGCGGCGGCATGTCTACTCCAGTTGCGGCGCCTGGCGACGAAACGCCGCACTAGCACCGACGGCCGCTTTCCATTGAAATCAGCTCTTTCGCCCGGGCACTGAAAAAATAGAGGAGGCACTAGTTCAGCGATACGTCCGAACCTGTCGTGACTGTCAGAGGCGTAAAGTTTCACCCATAAAGCCCGCCTTTAGACCCACCTCCAGCACTGTTTCAGCAAGTGGGAATGGATCTTACTGGACCATTCCCTATGTTTTCCTTAGAAAATAAGTGGATAATCATCGCAACCGACTATCTGACTCGCTATGCAGAAACTAAAGCTGTGCCTAGGGTAACTGCAGTTGAAGTCGCCAGATTTTTCGCCCATGACATTGTTTTGCGGCGTGGTGCACCTGCTGTTCTCGTAACAGATTGCAGAGCAGCATTTACATCAGAGTTATTACAACAGGTTGCCAAGCTGACGAATATTAACCACCAGAAAACAACAGACTATCATCCCCAAATGAACGGTTTGACGGAGAGGTTAAACGGGCACTGACATCAAATTTCGAGATCGAGATGTGCCCATCACTTGGTATGCATAGGTCTTGACGAAATTTGAATGGCGTCCGTCGTGTCAAAGTTATTTTATTTTCACGTCAAACAGCGTAGAAAAGCTAAGGATAAAAAACAAAAAATAGACTGCCCTGTGACATGGACATTAGTGCTACGTGTTCGGTGTGATATATTCCACAAATACCATCCTGAGGGACGATACGCTAGTAACGATGACGTCGGCGGTCTCTGTGTTTGGAGCCGACTCCCAGCCATGCTATCACTTGTGGCTCCACTTGCTGTGCTGAAGCGTGCATGCGATTCATCGTGTCGCATCGAATGATTTGCGTTGTGCTCCACTGCGTGTGAGTACGATCATTCAGACCGACAATCCCTGCCAGAATGTGGGGGAACCGCTGTGTAGTGAGAACCTGCACATCGAGGCACGGAAAGTGCATGGCTTTTCATGCCTTTCCAAGCCACGTACTTCAACGCAGCCAGTGGGTTGACTTCGTACAAGTCATTGGACAGAGGGACTGGACGCCTGTGAAGAACAGTCGCATTTGCTCCCTTCACTTTGCAACGAGCTGCTACAGGGTAAATCCCGTGTTGGCGAACCAGTTGGGTTTCACTGGCAGTACGAGGCCTCTTCTTGAGGCCGGGGCTATTCTACCGTGTGCCCTGCTGCAACTGAAAGCAGTGATTCACTCACCAAACATCCGTGACATGAGGTGCGTAGTTGGTGTTCCTGAGCTCCGACACTACAGCCAGGACTGATATATACATTGCATAAACGCAGAGCTTATCAAGCTAGGATCGTCGCGAATCACACTGATACCCAATTTCAGGTCGCTGTCATCATCACTTGCCGATGTTGACAGCGACGGCGGCGAGGAACACGGCGAGAACGACGGTGTTGGCGAGAGAGGCCTTCAGAGACACAGCTGGACTGACTGTACATGCGTTCCTAGAAGACAAAACGCCAGTGTGACGTCACCATTTTTTTTGAAAGCGGCATCAGCTCTGCAGCGGCCTCAACGTGGCCGTGAAGTGGCGCTGCCAGCACTACAATTTGGCAGGCTTTCCAGCCATTTTGAACCACGTTCGATAGCGAATATATTAATCAATATTACAGATACTTATTCATCACTCAGATGCATTTTAGGTCGTGAATCGCTACTAGGCGATCAATAGCAACTCGTTTACGCAAAAATCTTCACATGAGTAAATTTGATGTCAGTGCTTTTTTAAACAAACACTGGCCGGCCTGCTATTTATATATATTCATGTAGAACACAAAATGTCGGATGGAAATCTGCCGTACGTCACGTTTGCTTATAATACCGCTGTGCAAAAAACCACAGACAAAACACCATTCCAGCTTGTTTGTGGCCGTCGCGTCACAGCACTGTTAGACGCTATGCGTCCCTTAGACCAGGACAACAGCACAAATAACATCGTGAATATTTCGTTCAGAAAGCCTAGGAAGCTCGCCAGCTTGCACGTAACCACATTCACACGCAGCAAGATACCGACGCTCACCTTTACAACCAAGGCCGAAGGAACTACCACTATCAACCAGGTGACCATGTATGGGTGTGGACACCTGTCCGACACCGTTGTATTTCGGAGAAGCCATTGCGACGCTACTTTGGCCCTTACGAAGTTGTGTGCTGCCTTAGTGACATGAATTACGAGGTAGTTCCCCAAAGCTGTGATGCCAGTTTAAGCCTACGACGTCCACGCCCAGAAGTAGTCCACATAGTACTGAAGAAACCGTACCACACCCGCGAGTTATGAACACATCCAACTTTTTTTTATCATCTACAACAACACAGGATTATTTATTTTATTGTTGTTGGTGTGACTATCTTTCTCTAAGGCCATCTTCAGAATCTTAGTCAATCTACTTGGAATGGTCGCTCTTGAAACGGGGGAATCGATGCAAGGTAGGCTGGCAACTCATAGTGGCCAGCCTCTCAGAAGGATAATGAAGTAGTTCTGTGGGCGCGTGCTCTGGTGTTCGTTTTTTCACCTTTTGTACCGAAAGTAAACGCCCTGTTTTGTGCCCGCATCCCTGCGTCTTTGTGACAATATTACAGAAGAACTAGGAAATTGTGGTGCTTGATTTAATGCATATAATTATTTAAATAGAGAAAAGAGTTTATTCTTAAATTAGAGCAATACTCTGATTTTTATACGTATAGAATGTAGTAGACATGTTAGAATAATAATATAGATTATTTAGTCAACCAATCAGTTTCATTATTATAGTACCCAACATCCGCGCATACTCTTGCACTGGAGAAGACAGAAATGGAGGCTTCAAAAGGCAAAATTACGGGCACAGATAAATCCTATCAATACAATGTGAAGTTATTTCTGCACGAGTTTTTTGTATTGTATTAAACCGCCTGCAGGTCAAAAAGAAATAATCTGTTGTTTCCAGATCACCACAGAACGCGCACAGTGGCGAAGGTGCCTGAGCAGACCTGGCCTTCCAGTCCGTGTGACAAACGTTTGTGTGACTTGAGAATTTTTTAGTCGCCAAGGGACACTTCTATTTTAAATATAACTAACCTGCATGTAAAAAAGAATTGTACAGGCTGTGCAAACCGCCCATATCTTAACGAAAGTTTCATAGCAAACGTGACCCGTTAGACCACGCACAGGATCCAGTGAAAAGTGAGTTGCCACTATGTCCGGCATTCTTCGAATGACGTGTACTTTCTTTCGACAGGCAAGCAGCACATACCAACACCAAGCTTTCATTCGGTCGCACAGCTCATTTCACACTTGATACATGCACAGCGATTGAAATGACAACACAGACGTTTGTATTTGATAGCTTTTTTGTGTGCTTTTGTGCAATTACTACTACTGTTTCCTTTAGCGGCTTTGAGAGGGACAGCTGGCGTGAGCACTCGATGGAACAACGTGGGGAGTCCATTGTACATGGGAGAAAGGATAAATGGGAGAAAGCAATAAATGTGAGTGTCCAGTATAAACTTTAGTTAACACAGAAACAAGCGTTGACAAGTGAGGTCTTGCACAACTGGAAGAGCAGTATTCACGGTACTGGTGTCCTCTCCTTCCGCTATCCTGCAACTTAAGTGAAGACGAGGCGGGGCAGCCATTCACTCGAAGCTGATATAAGTCATGTGTTTCGAGCGAGCGTGCTTTTTAAGAGCGCGCAGGTCGCAGTACTTCTTACCACATACCTTGCGAAAGGTTTCTCTATGGTGTTATTGCACATGTGGTGCTCCAGGTACTCCTTATTTATTTACTTTATTTATTTTCAAGTACCCTCAGGGTACAAACGTACATTGAAGAGGGGAGGGGCAAAAGTTGGCACATAGTAACAACTTGATTATAGGTACAATTTATAGATAGAAAATACAGTCGAACCTCTTTATAACAAACTCCGGAAAATTTGCCAAATTGTTCGCAGCAAGTAGGACCGTGATGCGGGCCTTGTTTTGCTTGCCACCATGACATTTCTGCCCGCGGGTGTCCAGAGTTTGGCGCGGCAGCATCTGCCAGAAGAGGCCCGTTTCGTCCGCGTTAAAATTATCTTTTGGATGATATCTGGCACGAATTTGAGGCCACTCTTCCTTCATCCACTTGTCCATCGATGCGGCGTTCGCTGACTTGCTTTCGCCCATGACAGTTTTTCCGGCGATGTCGTACCAGTTCTTAAATCGATGCAGCCACCCCCACTGGCACTAAAATCTTTGGCTTCGAGTATGAAAGCGAAGTCTCTTGCCTTTTGCTGCAGCAAGGCCCCGACACAGGAATATTCCTAGCCCTCACGTCGACGAATCATTTATTAGGACATTCTTCGACGTGTTCGAAGGCAGCGGGTCAAATACGCCGTGCGTTAGCATGTTTTCTGCCGTCTTGCTGAACAATTTCTTGTTTCTGCTTCAGCACCGCGCTTAATGTGCTGCGAGGTATTTTGAGAGCATCAGCAACGACTGACTTCTTTCCCCCTCTTTCGACACGCCGAATAATTTTCAGTTTCGTCACATACGTCAAGGCAGTCTATTTCTTCCCGTTTTGCGCCATGGTGGCGGTGTACGAAACCGCCTAGCACCACAAAAACGTGCAAACGAAGACACCACACACACCCAAAAACAAAGCAACCACTAGCCCGAAATGGCGGCGTGCAAACTCATGCATCCACGCAGTCGATCGTCAAGGCCGCTCCATTCTACCGGCGCATAAAGCACGTGAGATTTTAGTAAACGGCCGTATCCGTATCCTTAGAGAGTGAAGCTTGCTGATCTCGGAAGCCATAAAAAAAATTGGCGTCGGCCGTCTACGCTGCTACACCGTCTAAGGTGCTACAGGCGCATCGGATGTAAACGCGGGTCCACTTGACTGCCGCTGTGCTGCGGAGAAGCCGAACATGCGCTCCCGAAGCAGTCCGAGAAATTCGGTATATTCATTGCGCGCTTGAGTACGTTCGCTATAAAAATGCCAAAATACGTGTAATTCTTTATACTTTCTGTCGGTAGTTCGATATAGCCAACAATTCGTTATATACATGTTCATTATATCGAGGTTCGACTATATCGTGGTGGCACTCAACAAATGTGAGTCACAAAACAAGGGCAAAAGTAGGCATAATTATTATTACAGTAATCAAAATACTTAATTAAACTGGGTGTATTAGAGCAAGAGCTCGTTTAATGTACATACACTTAATAAACTGACAAGAGGTAAAAACATGACACGAAAAAAGGTAAAACCATGATAACAGTAAAAAAAGAAGACATAATGCACAGGAGTAACTGTTTTTAAAACGAAATATATAATAACAAAGGCGTAAAACAAACACTGATGTTGATTTCAGATGAAGCTCTGAAGAAGGATTTTGAAGTTTTTCGTGTTAGTTATGCTTGTGAGTGTTGCAGGTAGGTTGTTCCAATGCCTTGTTGTTTGGGGGGAAAATGGATATGAAAAGTCACCGGTGTTACTGTGTGGAATGTTTACCCTTTGTCGATGGTCTACGCACGATGAAATGTATGGTGGTGGCTGAATGAAAATAGAATGTAAATATGGGTTGTGGTAGTAGATTGTATGAAAAAGACAGAGTGGAGACAGTTTTCTGCAGAGTGATAGTGGTGGAAGGTGTAGAATGTCTTTCATGCTTGTAACACTGGCAGTTCTTTGGTAGTAGTTGAGCAAAAAGAGACAGATGGAGCGATTTTGTATCTTGTTTAGTAGTTTTATATGATTCTCATATCCGGTGTCCCATACTGACGATGCATATTCAAGCTTTGGTCGAATGAAAGTTGTGTACAGTAGTAGTGTTAGTGATGATGGAGCTTGAGAAAACTTCCAGCGAAAGTATCCTAATGTGCCAGTGGCCTTGGTAGCTATGTGATGAATATGAGTTTTACATGATAAGTTATTAGTATTATGAACACCCAAGTATTTGCATAATATTATGCATTCCAGTGGAATGTTATTAAGTGCGTAAGTTAAGTGCTTGGTGACGAACTTGCCGAGACAGAGCTCGCACGTGTGCCTCCGAACGTTGTTGTGCCACATTAGGTGGCTCTGGAGGCTCGTGCTTTGTGGGAACGCTTCGGGGCACAGGTGGCAGCTTGTAGCCTACCGACATGGCGCAGTGAGGGCACTTGAGCAGCCTGAGCTTCTCGTGCACCCGCTACCGATGTCGGTCCAGGATGGATATAAAAGACACCACCTTGGAGCCCGACGGCGACAGCCGGGTCTCGGCAGAACGACTGCTCGACGCGAGCGTGGAAGTTTCCTCGCTGTCCTCGGAGATTGGCGGCACTGCGAAGTTCCAACAGGTATCAGTGACAAATAGTTTAGGGGTATTCATTTTGAGACCCCATAAAAATTTTCAGGATGGGATCGTATACGTACACTCCTTTGCTATATTCGTCCTTTGCTATAGTTCCAAAGCATATCATTGTCGCTTACAAGTGAAGTGCCAGTGCGTCTCCTTTACTCGTAAGCGTGACCCATACCTGTTTCATTACACATTAAATACCCCCCAGCTAACGCAAGTAACTGAGAATAAATACCTAGGTGTTTACTTTTCATCAAATCTTACCTGGACTAAGCCCGTTGAATATGTCACAGCGAGACACTCCAGAATGTTAAACTTTGTTAAACGGAAATTCCAGTTAGCTCCTCCCCTAATCAGAAAACTACTCTACTTTTCGAATGTCCGATCTATCTTTGAGTACGCCTGTGTAGCGTGGGACCCATGAACAAAAACTTTGTCTAATATGCTCGAGATCATACAAAACCATGCAGCTCATTTTGTGACTAGCAACTATGACTTCAGTGTTAGTGTCACCGCGCTTAAGGATAGGTTAGGGTGGGATTTATTAGTATCACATAGAAAACACTTGAGAATAGAAATGCTATTTAAAATGTTTTATGGGTTGATCGAAATGGATAAAGAATCTTACCTTTCACGTCGCCATTTTTGTCTAAGAGAACTGACTGCTCTCTAAAATTAGGAAAAATTCTTTGCAGAACAAACATTTACCAATACTCCTTTTTCTGCTCACAATCTCCCAGTGGAACTGGCTTCCACAAGAAGTTGTAGACTGCCACACTGAAACATCCTTCAGGGAATTATTGCTACTGTCATAGCTGCATTTTTGTTATGTTCTTTTTTGTGTTCATCATCTTACGTTGTGTATTTCCACCCTTCAATAATGCCCTCGGGCACTGCAGGTATTTTTCCATAAATAAATAAATAAACCAGAGTTGCATATAACACGTTATGCAAAACTCTGGTTGTAAGTAACGTAATCAACCTTGTCGAAACTAACGCTCTGGATGATTCAATTGCAATTTCTTGTAACCGATTACCAGTGATCAGTTTTTGTTTTCAAAAACAAGTTGGAACCGCTCTTCTACGCCAGCTCCCGTCCTGCTGGACGGGAACTAGAACTAGTAGTCTGTACAAATGGCCTATAATGTGGACGAAGGGATGACCGCCACTGTAGCTCAGCAGTAGAGCATCGGCCGCGTTATTCGAAGATCGCAAGTTCTTTCTTCACAATTACATTAAATTTACTTATAATAACATTACAAATACTTTCCTTAGCATCGTTGTCCATTATTTAGGAATATTATTGTGTGTAACAAAGAAAATAAGCTCCTAAATATACACTTATTTTCGCCCTTAAAAAATGGTCACAAGACAATGGAGAACTCAAGAGCTCGTCTTCAAGATGTACTGGCTGCAGCTACATTCAACCTATTCTAACTATGTTTATCTTAAAATGCGCAAGTCAATAAGAGCATGCTTCCGTGCATTTTTCGGTCCCAGTGTAAATTTTGTGATGAGGTGGCGAATTTGCTCCACATGGTGTGGACAAGTCTTATTCAAAACGATGGTTCCCACACTGTGGAATTCTAGGAGGTCCGGCAATGCTGTCCAGACCACAGCGTCCAGTGCGACATAATCAGTCAAGACCTTGCTACTGCAGTAATTTGTGCCAAGAGCTAGAGGCAACGGGCCTAGCCTGACGTATAATTGGCTGACTTTTTAATAAAGTTTTCTCTTTCTCTCTTGCACACAAGCATGAGTCGCAGAAAACTGAACCAAAAGCTTGACAGCGATGTAATGGAAAAGGAAAATATACCAAAAGCATAAGAAAAAGAGCATACCAAAAAAATTGGAAGGGGCTGCTGTTCTATGGACATCGTATGCCTTTAAAAGTCTTTTTTTACAGCAAAAGCTATTATTAGATCACTTTTCGTGTCACGCGCAGTTGCATGTTGTCCGCCGCCACCACCGCCGCCGGTGCTCGTAACCACATCGCGCGAAATTAGAAGAAAAACCTTGCACCAATGGCACAGTGGGGCTCGAGCCAGAGTCCGCTGGGTGCCAGCCCAGTACTGTACCACTGAGCTACACTGGTGCAGGCTTGATATCGGGAAAGCAATCGTGTTATTTCGACTTATAAAGCCTTTGAAAACAAGGAAAGAACAACCAGTCGTCGTACAATGCAATTAGCATAACGAGTGGGCCATTCAATGTTCCAATCCATTACAAAAGCTTGTTCTTGTTTATCTGTTAACTGTGGCGCATACCCACTACAGCCATTTTTTCTCGTCGTTAGCCATGGACAATTGGCACAAAATGCCTAGAAAGTGTTTAGCGGATACCACGCTTCTGAGAAGAATGACGAAACATAGCCTAGCGAATGCCGGCCTACTACCCAAAAGTTTATTATTAATGCCCTAGTGGGTACCAAGCAAGTGTGCTTGCAGTAGTTACCCACGGAGTATTTTGAAAAGGCTCTGAAAGGACGCTCTTCTAGCTTTCGCTGTGACTGTGCTGCGCCTACCACGCAAGCCTGGCGTTTTGAGGCTTATTTTGCTCACTCCCATTTAAAAACCACTCGTCTATAGCCTTAAAACGTTCACAAGTTTTGCGACCGCTTTTGAAGATGAAGCATGTGGCAAAATATTATGGCATTATGCAATGTGAAAAGTGAACGAAGATCACAGCGATGTTTGCTGCATTAGAACCCCCAGTCAGGGCAGCAAATAAGGGCCGCTAAAGATAGGTAGGGTAAAATATTGTCACGTTCCTTTCCTCAAGTTTTGTTATCACTCCGTTACACTACATTCAGCGCAAACCGTGCCTACGATGTTCGAGAGGCTTCGATGCTGTAGTGGATCATTTTGTTTGCCATTTTCGTGAACAATACAGATTATTCGAGAACCTACGTCGTCGCTAGCGATAACGCTAGAATATTCAATGGAAAGGGTATAATTGCCGACGCGCTTCGCCACTTGTCAGTTGATCGACGGCCGACGCTCTGCTCGCCGCTACCAGTGCCAGTGTCTCGCTGTAATCTAACTTTCCTTTACTGTGGCCACAAGTTCGGTCCAAATAAGCAGTTTATTATTCGACCTGCAGTCTGCTCCCTTCATCCACATCACGACCCCGTGACAACTGGTGGAGGTGCTTCCCGTCCATGTACCGAGCGCCTCCCTCTAGTCGAGACCAAGCCCCAACCGTGAGCCAAACATCCCCACCAACCTCGACCTGCGAGCAAGCCACCGGCAACAAGGGCTACCTCCAAAGTACGGGGCTCTACCCGATAATAGTCGCAAGCCGAAGACCGCCACTACTGCTGCATCAACTATGACAGCCCCCGTACCAATGCCCGCCATAATCTCAATGCAGCAGCCAAAAGAGCCGCCCATCTTCCACGGATCTTCATTTGAAAAACCTGAGACCTGGCTCGAGACGTACGACCAAGAAGCAGCCTTGAATCTGTGGGACCGATAAGAAAAGCTGCGCCGTGTCTACTCCTACCTGGAAGACGCGGTGATGACCTGGCTCGAGAATCGGGAGTCTGCGCTTCGCTCCTGGGATTTCTTTGGCGGCGCATTCCATGGAAATTTTATGAGCGTCACCCGCAAAGAAAAGGCTGCTGCTCTCCTGGAGACCCGGGCACAGCTGCCAAATGAAAATGTCACCATCTTGACGGAACAGATGATAAAACTGTTTTGGCATGCCGATCATGCCATGGGCTGAGGACAAGAAGATCCGCTTCCGCATGCAGGGTGTGAAGCAAAAGTTGTTTGTGGGACTTGTTCACAACCCGCCCAAGACTGTTGACGAATTCCTCACCAAGGCCATGACAATAGAGAAGGCGCTTGAGATGCGCACTAGGCAGTATGACCGTCGCTCTTCAACAGCCAACTACGCCAAAGCCCATGCCCTCAGCACGGACGACCTGCATGAGACGATCCGACAGATCGTGCGGGAGGAGCTACGAAGCTTGCTGCCTTCGTCGCAGCCCCAAGTGGATTGGATCGCCGACACTGTCCGCGAAAAAGTTCAGCAATCGCTTGGAGTTTCCAAAGCTCCGCAGCCTCAGCCGCAAGCGATGAGTTACACTGCTGCAACCCGACGCTATGCTCCCCCTTCACGCCTACGTCAAGAGCCTGTCTCGTCGCAGTTCCGCCACCAGCCACCGCCGCCGTCATACCGTCCATCCGCCGGCCAGCGCAACGCTCCGAGGAAAACCGATATGTGGCGTGAACCCGACCACCGACCTATCTGCTTCCACTGCGAAAAAGCAGGCCCAAACTACCACTGCTGCCAGTACCGTCAAATGGGACTGCGTGGTTTCGCCGTAGACACGCCGCATCCACAGCGGGGGAAAGACCCGGCGACATCACCGACTAGCTCGCAGCAGCGCAGTGAACACCCCGAGGAACTTCCTGTTCGCCGTCACCCAGCCGCTACATGTCGCCTCACTGCCGGCCATACACTGGCCTAACCCGGGGCTGATCTCCTAGCCCTTATCCGGGAAACTAAAGGCAGCAACCACTGGAGGTACAGTTGCTGTGCGACAAACTACGGAAGATCCTGTGACGACAAGGCCGGGACGGTACTTTCCGAACACCACGTGAACCAAGCAAAGCCCTGACGACAACACCCCATGTACTGATGACGACCTAACGACACCACATAGGAGCAGCGAAACAAGCTGATGCAGTCGTGACCCGACGCTACGACCTAACTGCAACACGAGACGACAAACCAGCAACATCAACGTTCTTATCGACGGCCACCGTGTAACAACTCTCGTCGACACCAGAGCCGACCATTTGGTCATCAGTGGAGCGTTCGTTACGAAGTTAAAGAAAGTCAAGCACGCCTGGGAAGGCCCTAAATTAAGAACAGCCGGAGGCCCCCTAGTAACGCCGGACGGCATCTGCTCTGCGAGAGTCTGCGTTAACAACCGGATTTGCCCCGTAAGCTTTGTAGTACTACACTGGTGCTCAAGAGATGCGATCC